CTTCGTGCACTTCACCCACGCTGTCAATTTGCCAATTTATGTGAACCAATTTTGGATATATTTGGATTTTTTGAGCTAGCATTTAAGTCGATTTAACGCTATTTATTTATTTATTTATTATTTGTTTGCGACTGCGCCTGCCACGCCCAATTGCCACCTTGCTAGCAAGGGATGGCCGACATCCTTTGACCCAGCGATGCTGACAATTGTGCGCCCTATGCGCAATCTAAAGACCCTCAAACACCACACACACACACACACACACACCTCACACACTATCCACACTTCATCCAGAACTTCATCTATTCCCATTATCAACTTTATTTATTCTATTCATGTGCCCATTGAACTATTTATTTATTCTCACTCTTCACCTAAATACCTAAAAAAAAAAAAAAAAATCCGAAAAAAAAACAAAAACTTCATTCGCTTAGCTTAGTTTTATAAAATTATCTAATTTATTTAAATTATGGCCAGGCAAAAACCACAATTAACAACAACAACAACGAGAACAAATGATGCATTTTTATCATAAATTAATTTGTTTGTAAATAAGTTAACAAATTGCTTGATGTACATGATAAATGACTATAATATCGAAAAGCTTCTCTATTCACTGTAACTCTATGGACTCTATCCATGCATGTCGAGTGGGCGTCGTAATACGCGGCCGCCCGCAGTTCCATCAAGTCAAAACGCATCACAAGACATCTAAAACCAATTAAGACAATACAAAATGCATGAATTTAATGATAATACAAATAAAAGAAAACTTATTTTTAAAATAAAAATATCAAAAAATTATAAAATTGTTTATTCTTTTTATTTGCCTACATTCGCATAGCAGATTTAGTTTAGAATCGACAGACATTTTGGTTCTGTCTTTTCCACTCTTTAGAGAGTCACTACTTCATTTTTATTGCTTCTTCATTCTAATACTATTCTACTACTTTTTTCGGTTGTACCTCCAACTTTTACTCCTACATTCTACTATTTTATATTTTCTTTGCATTCTTTTACTTATACGATTACTAGTTTCTTACTTCCAATAATTTTGTACTTCAATTATTCCTATTGTTATATAAAATAGTCTTTCCTTGTCCTAGCCTATCTATATCTGCTCCTATTTCCACTTTAATGCTGTTCCAAACAACCTTATTTCTTCACCAATTATACCAAAATCTACTCCTTTTCTTTATCATACAGTCAGTCCTATTTTTAGACGAACTCTTATTCGTACTCCCATTCTTATTCTAACTCTTCAACTTCTACTTCTATGTTTACTACTTTTTTCGTTCTGCCTACTACTATATTGGCTCCTATCTGTACTGTCATTTCTAGTCGTAACTAACACTACTTCTCTTCTACTACTATTTTCACAGCCAAATCGGAGAACTTTTAAATGAGTTCCATTTTTGTTAAACTTCAAATTTGACTTATTTTACAAAGTTTTAAATCAAAACCAAATACCACATTTTTTATTTGTATTATTTTTATATATAGTCTAGTATATATAAAAAGGTTAAAGCATAAGGCAAATGGAGAGTCAACCGCTAATTGAGTCCAGCAAGGGATCGACGAAACCATCTTCACAACAATCGATTTCATACAAGTCAATACTTATCTGGTTCTTTCGTAAGACATTGTGGCAACGCAAAAACGTTTACATTTTAGTCACTTTATTGATTCCGATATTATATCTCGTATGCTATTACCTAGTTGGACTTGATGAGCCAAACTATAAATATGCAAAAGAAGTAATTGAATCGAGAGTTAAAGAGGAACCGCAAGGTTTGTTAGAGTCCCCCATGGATCGTTATCCGATAATTGATTATGGTTCATACCTCTATTTCATTATCAATAGGTTACCTCGTATACTCCGATTACTGCAAGATTATAGATCGCGATCCATACAAATACGAGATAATGATGCTTTTCAACGATACAGAGCTCCAGCCCTGTAAGCCATATCCCCCACTCACCCAAGTGCATTACGAGAGCAGCATTCAACGCTACCTTCTGAGCGTCGATCCTATTGCCTTTCCCAAATACAACGTGCAGCACTCATTCGGCTGCTGCTACAAGGGCGTGGAGCGAATCAGTGACGATTACATCGAGTTAACGGAATGCCAGCCATTCACTAGCAGAACTGAACTATCTAATACTACGGATAGCGTCATTGTCAGCTGTCAGACTGACTATGAGCGAATCTATATCAACGGGCATCCCACCATACCTGAGCGATACGACGTGCGGCAGCGACTCGAGCATTGGGCGCAGAAGGATCGAGGCAAGCGTGTGCCCAGCGTCCTAATGATAGGCATCGATAGCACCTCGAGACTAAATCTCATTCGCGCCATGCCCGAGACAACCCAGTATCTGTACGACAACGACTGGTTCGAGCTGGCGGGCTACAATAAGGTAAGCTCGATTAATGGCCCAGATCGGATCATAGCTAAAGTCTGACTCCGACACAGATCGAAGACAATACTTTTCCCAACCTTATGGCACTCTTGGTGGGTTACAATCTATCGACTGTCATGAAGCACTGTAATCCCTATGAGATAAACGGCCTGGACCAATGTGACTTCATCTGGAAGCTGTTCCAGAAACATGGCTATGTGACGGCCTACGGCGAAGATGCGGTTCAGATCAATACTTTCAACTACATGAAGAGGGGCTTCCAGCAGCCACCCGTCGACCATTACTTGCGTCCGTATTTGTTTGTGGCAGAGAAGCAGCTTGGTGGATTTATACATGATTTTCTGCCTGAGTGCGTGGGCTTTGAGTTGGAGGCAATAACTGTTTATAAGTATGCCCAGGAGTTTGCAAATCGTTATCTTAACAACAGCTTCTTCGGCTTCTTCTGGACGAGCACGCACAGCCATGACACCATTTCACAGACCAGGTCCATGGATGAGTATCTGAAAGAATATATGCAGGGTCTAGTGGCACAGGGCATCCTGGAGAATAGTATTGTTATCTTCTTCAGTGATCATGGCTTACGTTTTGGACCGACCCGAGATAGCTGGTCCGGGTATTTCGAGGAGCGATTGCCGTTCCTGTTCATCTGGCTGCCGGAATTTATGAGACAGGCGTATCCAGAATTTGTGGACGCGCTGCGTGTGAATCGCAAACGCCTGACCACGCCCTATGATCTGCACTTGACACTGAAGCACATTCTTTCGCTGACGGGTCGAGTTGGCAGCCAGGAGGATCTGGGTGGAGCCAAGGACTGCCCGCAGTGCCAGAGCCTATTTAAGCCTATTCCGCTGAATCGCAGCTGCGCGGATGTTTCCATTGAGGATCACTGGTGCACGTGCAGAACGTTCAAGCGAACGACGGACAAAATTCTGACCAGACTAGCCCAGCACACAGTCGAACACATTAATAGCCTCTTGGCCAACGGCAGCTATTTAAATCGATGTGAGCCTCTCCAGCTGAATCAGATTGAACATGCCTACAGGGCAGACGCCAATGCATTCGATCCTAGACACGTGCGAATCTATATGCTCACCCTAACAACATTACCGAACTATGCCAAGTACGAGGCAACATTGCGTTATGACAAGCTTCAGCCGAAGCACAACAAAATACGTTTGACTGGCTCTGTGAGTCGACTCAATTCCTATAGGGGCTACATAGGTTGCCTGGGCAGAGATCCAATGATCAGATATTGTTATTGTCGCAATCAGCCCAGAAAAAGCTATAGTGAAACGAACTATTTATAGTAAAATAACAAGAATTTTAATGAAATATTAATAAAGTTTGTTAATCAATATAATTTTCATTTTTAACGTGCGCCGAATTGTATGCTATAAATTTATACAGGCATTCATTGACTGCTCAGCGGCAAACGTAAGCTTTGTTTTTGTTTTCAGCACGTGCCACAAATATCACACATACACACACACACATGCACACGCATACTCCTGCACAGCTCAGGCCTCTCACAGTGAGAGGCACGTCGCTAATAAATACTCGAAGGGCATGCAACAGGTGGTGTGCGCTGATTGGCCGAAGAGAGAAGCAAAGAGAGAGAGCGACACGCAGACAGCGTCGGCGCTGACTGCGCAGTCGCCGCAAACGAAGGCGACAAGCAAATAAACATTGCACGCTTTCAGGCGACGCGCACAAATTGCAGCCTCACTTTTTCTCTCTCTCTCTCTCTGTCGCTCTGTTCCGCTGGCTGTTGTGAATGTGTGAAAGCTCTCACACTCTCACATTCACAAGCGAACGCCTCAGCCTCGCTGGCGCCAGCTTGCAAAAATATTTTGAATTTTGTTATTAACTGTTTGCAGGCCGCTGCAGCAGGACATGCGAGCGTCGCGTACGTTGGCGCGCGTCTCTGTGCTTGTGTGTGTGTGTGCGTGTGCAGTGTAATTAAAACAAGAGGCTTGCCTATTATATTACAACATATTGTTGCAATCAATAAAGAGCTGCAGAAAAGCAAATGCAAACACGTGAGTGCAGTTGTTAAACAGAAATTGAACAAACCAAAAACAAAACAAAAATAACAAAAATGAAAAGAAAAGAAAATTGTTGCGAAAAAGTTCTCTACACTTGTGTGCGTCTCAGTGGGTGGTGTATCTGCGTGTTGGTGTGTGTGTGTGTGTGTGTGTGTACTCGAGTACGCGCAGCTTGTTAGTATCTATTGTGTCACAGCAATGTTTTGTAGTTTTTACGCTGACGCTGCAACTGAATACGTTTCAATAGCAACTGAACAAGTGTGCGAGTGTGTATGGGTGTTTTACTACGTCACTATGTCCTCGACATACCTACACATATATAGGTGCACATATACATACACAGCCATAGTACGTGCTCCATTTAACAAGCTGCATTCATGACTCATTTGCCGCCTGTTTCTTGCAGTTGAACCACAGAAAAAAAAAAATAATAATAATAAAATTAGAATGCAATATACAATAAACAATTGACCTTATCTATTCATACAGTTTGTGTAAGCAGTTGAGTTCATTTTATGGATAATTATAACAAAAAGTTTGTGCGAGTTCTTACAGTTATTTTACAATAGTATTTTAATTAGTTTTCAACAACAACCAAACTGCATTAGAAAATGTGGCTCACAATAATGATAGAATCGGCATGCAAGCGAGTGGAAATTGAAACAACATAGGTTTGACAATAGTAATTAAAACTGCCTACCAGGCAGGTACAATTCGAAATAATGTCCAGTGGGCTTTTCTACCTCTAGCTTTGGTTCCACCTCCACATTTATTGATGACGTGCTTGCTCTCTATGTGTAGAAATACCTCCAGTCTATGTAAAAAAAAAATGTACTTTTTGAGGCGTCTCCAAATAAATCTCTAAGTCACCAGAACAGAGGCAGATCTATAGAAAAAATGCATTTCTAGACTCTGACTGTATATTTATTTAATGTACAATTTAGATGCACCAAATTCTTTCAAGCAATTACCTTCAAATCTTTTTATAGATCAGCTGTAAATCTTTTTGTTAATTCTCTTTCTCAAGTCTCGCCCTAGATCTGCCAGAATTATCAGAAACTCAAAAATCTACTTTTACGTCAACTAGCTCTATCACAAAATTTTTATTTTAAGTACATCGAGCTGTAGTCAGCTTGCATTTTCATTTTGATCAGCGATCCTCCTGTAAATGCATTGTCAAATAAACAATAAACAAATTCATACTTTATGGATTTAACCTAAACAAAATGCAATACAAATAATATCAAAATTGGAAAAATATCGGAATCATATCGAATTACCCAAGTAACCAAACTGTTGTTGTCCAGTGTAACACAACACTGCTGACTAGCTACAATTATTTGATGCTTTCGTGGGAATTATTTATGCAAAGATGTATATATACTTTGTATGTGTGTGTATATACATACATATATACATACATTCATAACTCTGCTGGAAGTTCATCATTATTTATATTTTTTTTTATCTTCAATTACATTTTAATATCTCTTTCGATGGGCAAGCAGCAGAAACTATTGTGTCATAGGAAATCGTGATGCTAAAACCAGCAATCGAGCATATTAGATAATCAATCATTGTTGCTACATGAATGAGTGGGAGAGAGACAGATAAAACGAAAAAGAAACCCCCATTAAGAATACAAATGCTCAAGGTGTTTGAGCTACGCTGAGATTCATAACATTTTTGTTGATGAGCTCTAAAAATATATATTTTTTGGTTTGTTTATGACTGAGTTTATTCAAACAAATAATAATAAAAAATAAAAAAAAATAAAAACTAACTAAAAACTATAAAAAAAATGAACTAAAATAAAGACTACAAATTTAGTATTTATTATGTAAGCTGTGGTGGGAGATACGAATAAGTATATGATTGAAGCTAAATCTGAATTATAAATCACAATAGGAAATAAAAAACTTAAATTTGTATAAATAAAAAATAAATAAACACCAAATAGTTTGTCCTAATAATGAATAGCAAATAATCCAAGAATAAGAGTTTCGAGCTACAATCCTAGGGTATATCAAACCAAGCTTGCAACATTGTTGTGTGATAATCCAATGATACCGAATCATGAATTAAACCTAGGCATAGACAACGATTCAGCCTGGGACGAGCGTGCAGCAGAAACTAAACAAAAATTCAATGGAAAGATAAACACAGCGCCGAGGCGGTTCGTAAATTCGTGTTGCTGGCTAGACAGACACACGAGCAGCCCGCATTCGCTTTCGTCGGGAATTGCAGCTAAACAGTCTCGCTTTGTATCTGAGTATTTTTGCTGTTATTTTGTAGTTGTGTTTTGTATATTGTTTCGGATCGGTCGAAGCGGTACGGTACGCAGCGCCAAGAGACGCGCATTAAATTTCTGATTTCAATTTATGTCAATTTCAATTACAATTTCAATTTCCGAAATTAGTTAAACGAAGTGCAGAGCGTGAGATGATGTTGATGATGACAATTTAGATAAAAAATACATATGAAGTATTATTATATATTAATATATGTATGTATACTTGTGCCACTTCTCATTATGATGATCATTCTATATAAGCTATAAAATGATCGAACTGGCTAATATTTATGCAATGCAAATTACAATTCGTTCTTGGCAGTGAATACGTGAGCGGACAGAGAGACACTCTGACAGACAGACAGACATTTAGTGCAGTGCAGTGCCCCATTCTAAACATAGACGACCCACAAAGCAGCTGCAGCATTTGCAAGCCAAAACAAATATGCGAAATAAATGATATACAAATAAATAAAACTATATAAAAGAAATATATATTTACGTACATATATTATGCGTTGAACTTCAACCAAAACAGAATGGCCCCAACTAACTGCTGAGTCAAGCATGCAAATTTATTGATGACATTCTTTACTATTATAAGCAAATAGCTATAAATGCAGTAATCACTGACGTGACGGATGGAAATGTAAATATTAAATGTTATGCAAATTTTTTAATTGTGTAAATCTTTTTATTTTATTATTATTAAAATATTTTGTTTGTACTAAATATTACTTTATTATAGTTAATTAAAGAGTAGAAATATAACTAT